AGAAAACCATAAAATATTACATATGAAGGAAAGGAAAGTCCCTGTTCATTATTGGGAAATTTTTCTAATAACTAAAATATATACATCACAGGAAGGAGATAAAAGATTACCTAAATAAAGCCTAGTGATTTACTGGTGCATTAATTTGTTTTGCTTTCCCTGCTATAGAGAAGTGAAGGCGGGGAAGAGAGCAGAGGAGAAGGGAGGGGGGGAACAAATGGATAAGAAGAAAGAAGAAAAGGGGAGGATGGAGAGTTGGAGGGAAGGCATGGGGAAGAAGAAATGGGATAGAAGAAGAGAGGACTAGGAGAGGAGGAAATGAAGATGGGTAGGGAGAGGAAATGAAGGTAAGGGGAGGAGGAAAGAAAGAAAAAATAAAGGGAAGGAAGTGGAGGGTAGAGGGGGGAAAGGAAAGGAGAGGGCAAAGAGCAGAGAAAGATAATGTCTGATGTGTGTGTTCAGTTCTTTATATTTTTTCCTGCCCATATATCGACTATTCTGTATTCCTCCACTTCAAAATAGAAATTGCTTGATGAGAAAGTCCTAGCCTGGCTTTTGAGGAAGCATATGTTACCTTATATTTCTTAACCCCAAGGAGAAGGGCAAAGAGTGTTTGGGTGTGCAGGGTGATAGGTGGGGGGGAAAGAGGGGTAAGAGGGAAGAGGCGGGTAGAAGGGAAGAGAGAAAAGGAAGGGAATAGGCCGGCCGTAGAGTATTTTGCTGTGGGTGAAACATCTTGGAAATTTTCATCACCCTCTTAAAGAAGAAAGGATAGTCCTATTAATTGACTCATTAAATTTTCCTCTACAAAAGTGAAAAGTGAGCTCCTAAAAGGTTTTTACTTAATTTAAAAAATGGATAATGTGAAATCTCCTATACACTATAGGGGAGGGGAAAAAATTTCCCTCTAACCTTCTGAGTTCTTAGCTGGGATCCCTGTAGTAAAGGATAGAGAAGCAAGAAAAAAACAAACAAAGCAAAAAAACGTAGACATTTATTAACGGATCCCTGTAGTAAAGGATAGAGAAGCAAGAAAAAAAACAAACAAAGCAAAAAAACCTAGACATTTATTAACATATATACATCCATCATGTATACATAGGAGATACCCAGGAAGATGAGTAACTCACCAAGGTGGCTTAGAATTCAGGCTTAAATCCCATCTTTATAGGGAAAGGAGAGGAGTGAAGAGAGCAAATGATTTTTAGGAAAGACAAATGGGCCCCGAAGAATAAATGAGAGGTATGAAGTTTGCGACAAAGTTTGACTTGGTGTGGTATCCACTTACAGTCTTTTCTTGGTAAGAATCAATCTTCCCTGGTTGATGAAATTCTCAGGGAGGGGACTTATGACAACTGGATTCTTTTGAAGACCTGTCTTGAGGCAGATAACGGGAGTTCAGAGACAGTCTCTCCCTGCATTTGCTATTTTTTAAGTATCTACAATTCAAAATAATTAACATCCCAAAGCAGCATATTTTGGGATGGCTGGTCCTAAATTCCTAGTCATATTTTGGGGTGGTATATTCTGCTACCCTTCAGCACCCAAGTGTGAGGACACAGCTTTTCATTGGTCTTTCCCCAACTGGCTTCTGAGGTTGCAATTTTCTTCCACTTCTACAAAACACTTTTAATCATGGGACCTGAATTGGCCACCAAGCTTCATCCATTTTTAACTATGGAACATTCAGAAATAGAGTGTCACAGTTGTTTCTATTTGTAGCCTTGGAGTCTTACAGAAATATTTTGCTACACTAAATTTAATTTGGTTAGTAATACAGCAAACATCCATTGAAGTCTGTTAGAGGCCAGACACAGGCCTAGCTCTAGTGAATAAACCCTGAAGAATAAGGATGAAGTTTACAGTTTAAAAACCTATTGTGCCCGGTCACTGTGACTCAGCAGTTGAGCCTCAAACCAGGAACGAAGAGGTCGCTGGTTTAATTCCCTGGTCAGGACCACATGCCTAGGTTGTGAGCTGGATCCCTGGTGGGGGTTTGTACAGGAAGCAGCTGACCAATGATGTTCCTCTCTTATTGATATTTCTATTCTCTAACCTTTTCCCTTCCTCTCTCTCTAAAAATCAATTTTAAAAAATATTTTAAAATTACCCTTTGGGAGAATACAGCTTCCCTTAAAACCCTGATCATTAATATTGATGGAAGGAACTGAATCTTTAAAAAAAAAATTAATGCAACAGATATTTATTTAGCTCCAGTCATGGTCAAGGCTTTGAGGTGGATAAAATCAGTCACCACCTCTCAGAGACATATGTTATATGCAAGATGACATACGTGGAAATTAATAGACAACTCTGAATTGGTACAAATATTTATCCTGGTGATAACCAGAACGGTGAGCCGAGGTGTTTTCCCTGGGGTTGTGTCTCGGGACACTGAGCTCCACGGACCAGAAGATTTAAGCAAAAGTGTGGAAAATTTATTACAAGCAGATACAAACTCCCCACACGGGGAAAGGGACCCAATAATGGGCTTCCCTGTAAAGCCTTGTGGTCCAGGGGTATATATTTGCTACAAGCCTGTCCTATGTCTATCTGTGTCCTCACCTGATTGACCCCCTCAATTGTTTTTGCCCAGCAACAGACCTGAACTTTCCCTGTTTCTATGTGTTCTTTCTCTGTCCCTGTGCTGAATTATTTCTGTTTCTATGAGTTCATACTGAAGCATGGTGGTCCCTCCTTTGGAAAACTGCTGTTTAAAACTGCTGCTTAAACTACTCTGTTATTTTTAGACTAGAGGCCCAGAGTGGGGGTCCCTCAGCCTGGCCTTCCCCCTCTCGCAGTCCAGGAGCCCTCAGGGGTGGGAAGCGACCCAGTGATCAGAGGAAGACAATGCCCCCATCACA